AAAAAACTACCCCTATAGGGTCAGGTCAGGATTCGTGGGTTCGGATATTTTGATCATCCCTAGGTAAACAGACCATAAAGAGGATTAATCTATTGAAAGTCCGCCACAAATTATAGTCGAGGGCCGTGAGAAACTATCTACGAGCGTAAAATATTGCATCTAATTCAATCTGAATGTCCATAACAGAAAAAATCAATAAGATTACAAATAAATTTCATCTTGATCAGTCGTGGCGTCATCAAATTTCATCCTAAGAAAATATAAATAAAAGAACAATCAAACGATTGAAAAAATTAAAAAATTAAAAAAAACTAAATATTACAATCATATCAAATCAATATCGTCGTCGATTAAACAAAATAAAAATATCCAATTTATAGAAAACACACAAATTCTAAAGAAAAAAAAAAAGAGTAATCGATTAATTGAAATTATAATATTTCTTAATTGTTAATGATGTAAAAAGGCAAGCGTACGTTGACTAAAAAGTGAGTCGCACACTGTTTTTTCAACACGAGGAATCTTCCAGGAAGAAAGACCGCGATCGGTAGAACAAACCGGTTCGGATCAGTCCGGTTTTCTTAAACCGTCTATTATAAAATTCCCTCATCTACCCACTCTTCATTGCTTTACCTCTCTACGAAAACTTTCCCCTTTGACTGCAATTTTTTATTTTCTTAGTTATCGAAAAAAAACCGTATAATGTGAAAAATTATTTTTTGTTTTGAAGTTTGGGTCTAGATCAGCTTTTAGCCCTCTTGATCCGGATTTCTTTGTTCTCGATTTGTCCATTTATTAAAAAAAAGTTTTTTTATCATCAAGAGAGATGAAGGTAACGGCGGCGGTGGTGGCGACGGTTGTGACGTCTGATTCATGTTTGGGGGACGATGATGTGTGGCCACCGGGCTTTCGGTTCCACCCGACTGACGAAGAGCTGGTTCTTTATTACTTAAAGAGAAAGATCTGCAAAAAAAGGCTCAAGCTTGATATAATAAGGGAAACCGATGTTTACAAGTGGGATCCCGAGGAATTGCCTGGTAATTTTTCCCTTTTCTCTTAAAACCCCCAAAAATTTCGGGGTTTGCTTTTTAGGGTTTAGTTATCGATTGTTGATTGGCTTTTTCTCCGGCGACGCGTCTTTTGTTTTGTTGGTTTCACTGTTGTTAGGGCTTTGGGTGTTGTTTGGGTGCTAATTTTTGTTTTGATCTATTTATTTAAAAATACGTTTGAGCTGCGTTGAATTTGGTTTGCTTTGCACACTAATTGAACTGTTTCTGTGGTTATAGTTTTTGTAATCGATTTCGATGGAAATTTGAATTGTAATAATTGGTTGGATGAATCCATAATGGTTTATGATTTGTGAACCAACATGTGGTTTGTCTTTATACCTATTTGAAACTCTTGCTGCTATCAGTAGATAATGTTTCTGGTTCTAGCTTTCGGTTTTGTTTTATTGTCATCGATTTTCTGATAAACAAATGCTTTTCAGGACAATCCATTCTGAAGAATGGGATAGACAGTGGTTCTTTTTCTGTCCAAGGGACAGGAAGTACCCTAATGGAGCTAGGTCGAATAGGGCAACCATACATGGGTATTGGAAGGCAACTGGGAAGGATCGCACTGTTACATGCAATTCTCGAACAGTTGGAATCAAGAAAACACTAGTTTTCTATAGAGGACGTGCACCTAACGGTGAGAGAACCGATTGGGTCATGCATGAATATACCCTCGACGAAGAGGAACTGAAGAGGTGCCAGAATGTGAAGGTATGTGGTTGAGAGTATGTTGTTTAGAAGCTTTTCTGGTTTTTGTCTGGTATATATGAGATGTTTCTTAATTATATGTTTCTCATTTGCGTTTCAGGATTAATATGCTCTCTATAAATTGTATAAAAAAAGTGGACCTGGTCCTAAAAACGGTGAGCAGTATGGGGCACCGTTTAAAGAAGAAGCGTGGGCAGATGAGGAATATGATAGTAATCCTGTAGATACTGTCACTCCTGTGAAGCCAGCTGATGAGGCTATTCCTGGTGGTAATGTAAAAGCTAATGTTCACGATCTGCCTCCTTTGCATGGTATTGAGGAGTTCATGAAACAATTAGCTGATGAGCCTCCATTTCCACAACCGCAAGCTTGTTTTAGCCATGTATTGCCTCAGGTTGTCAATGTGGACGAGAGACAAAGTACTTTGTTGGACCCATCTCCAAGAGATATTCTGTTTCCCGAGCCGCCCATGGTTATCCATGGTCAAGGAAGCTTTGAATTCTCTCAGTCACCTACTTCTCAATTGCAGTTGCAGGAGGCACCTGAGGTCACATCTGGTGTTGACAACTTTGAACACTTACCCCAGTTATGTGAGACGGATTTCTTGGAAATTGATGATCTCCTTGGTCCTGAACCTTTGATCTCTGATGTCGAGAAACCTATGGAGAATGTGCAGTTCAATGAGGTGGATGGGCTGAGCGAATTTGACCTTTACCATGATGCTGCCATGTTTCTACATGACATTGGACCTATTGATCAAGGAACGGTTCCACTCTCGTTTGATAATATGATACATCAGGCAAGTTACCAGTTGGAATATCAATCTAATATAAGCCTGATGGATCAGCAGCTGCAACCCCAAATGAATAGCTCGGGAGATAATATGTTAAACCAGGTGGTTTATGAATCTAATTCTGGTCCAAACGGGAACGTGATGGATCAGCAATTGATGTTCCATTCAACTGTGGACCAGGTGGGTTACCATGATCAGAATCAACAGCTGCAAACTGATCAGATTAATGGCTCACTTTGGACACATGACCAAAGCGGTGATGTCTTCAGTCCATCAGGATCAAATCTTGGGAACGCATCTCCAACTTCAGGTAGAACAAATGTGGAAATCAATATGGAAAATTTTGTTAACTTATCTTACATTCCATCCTCCCGGTGCTCTTGATGAGACGGATGGTTGGGTAGACATGGCAAAAACCCTTTGTAAAGAAAAAAAGTGGAACTTGAACCTATGCTTATATATGGTTATTTTTTTTATCGTGTTTAGGTTTTGTATACAACAGTACTAAGCAAGACCAAGGTGACAAAAACGACGGAGGCGGAGGCTGGTTTTCTTCTTCTCTGTGGTCGTTTGTGGAGTCTGTACCCACAACTCCTGCTTCTGCAGCGGAGAGGCCATTGGTAAACCGTGCTTTCGAGCGAATGTCTAGCTTCAGTAGATTAAAAATAAATGCAAATGTTTCAGCAATGAGCAGCAGCTCTTCTGGAAATGGTAGGAGGAAAAGTAGGAGCAAGGGATTCTTTATTATATCTATTTTGGGTGCATTGTGTGCTGTTTTATGGTTCTTGATAGGAACAGTTAGGGTCTTTGGGAAACCTAACTCCTGAACTAGTTGGATTCACTGCATGACAGCACACATTTGAACAATATATATATATATATATATATATATTTAATGTCTAACATAAGTTTGAATGCAGAGGAGGAAGCCTTAGCTATAGTAAAGGCAATAGCTTCTTGTTTAGCTGAATTAAAGTTCTTATGTGCTGTCATTATCAGAGTCAATTCATTAATTTATCATATATTCAAATTTGGTTCTTTCTTCCTTCACAATTTACCTTTTTTTCTCAAAAGAAAAAGGTTTTTTAAAAGGGAAATATTTTTTAATCATTTTTAGTAGGTATAATGTCAAAATCCATGCTTTACATTTTGAAAACTATTCTATTTTTAAAGAATTTTGGTCAAAATATATTTTATGGAAAAGATTAGTTGACTAAAAGTTTGCTTGGTATCTTTGCATTTGTTTGATTGGTTTGAGTGATGATGTAATATGTTAATTATTAAATACATGAAAAATGATGTGCCAAGCATACTTATTTTGTGAAAAAAAATCATTTAACCACAAAAAATGATGAATTTTAACATTATGTTTTTTTTTCAATAATTATTCTTTCTTATTTTGATAATAAATTTAAATTGTTTTGAGCATTATTGAGCTGTACTCAAATAACTTATTAGTTATTAAATTTTTAAAAGTTATAAAATAATTATTATTATAGATCATTGAATTTTCTTTAAATGAATAGTTTAATTATTAAAATTATAAAATGTATGAAATAGTAATTAAGTTTTATTAAATATTTAATCATTTTATTTTTTATAATAAATTTTAATATTTTTTTAAAATAGTACAACACCAGAAGGTAAAAGGTAATGTGACCATTGATTTGTTAGGTTAAACCTCTTAACAAATCAATTAGCATTCAAATGATCAACTTTTAGGATGTTTTGTTTAGTCCTTTCGAACTTTTTTTTTTATTTTCTTTTCCCATAACTTAAAAATTGATCAAATCAACATTTGTAGTTCAGAGTTTTTATGTACTCTTAAAATTTATAAAGATAAGGTGTTGAGGCGCAATCGCATTCCTTAAAACTTTTAAATTCTCTTATAGCTTGTTTTCTTTATATTTTATATTAATGACATAATTTTGCATTCCTTGAATTTTTATCCTAACTTTTTAATTTTGCATCTTCCAATGTAAAATCATGGGTAAATTTCATTAAAAACTTAACACGTTTAGTACTTAAACTTTCAATCTTTTCAAAACTTAACGTTAAATTTTGAATAGTTACTAATATGAAACAAAAATTAAAGTTTTTAATGACATGATACTAAAATGAAACAAAAATTAAACTTTAGGTATGATTTTAAAAAAATTGAAAGTATGGGTACTAAAACAAATCAAAATTGATAGTTTAGATATTAAATGAGTAATTTACACTAAAATCATTCATTGGTACGTGACTAAAGTGGTATATAATTGAGGACAACTCGCCGAATCAAGCGGAATCCTCTGAAAAGATAGCCGTGGATCATGTTAAATGAATCAGCTGTACCCTTCTTTCTACATTTAAGGCCTCACTCTTCCTTCATAACTCTCTATTATATGTATGTATATATATATATACACACACACATACATACACAAGACTTGGGTTCTCTCTTGCATGCCTTTTCCATCTTGTGCATGAAACTATAAATTCCTTCAAAACTTTCCCAAATCTGCATTATTAGACACATAAACATGAACTACTCATCTTCTAGAGTTGGTGTTGTAATTTTCTTGCTGGTTTGTTCATTCACTCAAACCCTTCATGCTCCCCACCATTATCACCGTGGTAATTTTGTGCATTACATGAATTACTCACATTTTTTCCTCAAATTTTATCACTGAGGTCAATCAATGTGTGCAGCAAGCGATCATGGGAAAGTTGTGGAATTCGGAGAGGAAGGACAAGTGCTACCGAGGTCAGGGACGGAGTTTGAGATGATGGGGTCGAGCCTGCCAGACTGTTCGCACGCGTGCGGAGCGTGCTTCCCGTGCAAGAGGGTGGTGGTGAGCCTCAAGTGCTCCATGGATGAGTCTTGCCCCATTGTGTATAGGTGCATGTGTAAAGGCAAATACTACCATGTTCCTTCCTATTAAACCTTTTGTTTTGAGTAATATTCATGACATTGTATCCATTAATTAGCCGAGTAGTTAAAGATGCTTATATTGTTCTATTTTATGTGGATTTTATTTTAACGATTATGTCTAATTATTTATATGTGTGAATTTAAATTAGGGTAAACTACGCCAATGATTATTAATGTTTGGGTTAGTGTTCGTTTTCACTACTGATGTTTGAAAAGCCACAAATCAATCACTGACGCAATTTTTTATTTTAAAATTGTCACTCGACTCGTTAACAAATGTTAATAATTGTTACTATAATAACAGAATGCTGACATGACATGTTAAATTAATTAACTCAACATGTTTGACCGACCATTTTGACTCATCTTCTTCAAAAGCCTTTAAAATTTTTTGTTACTGCAAGAAATATGAAATAGATAACCAGAAGATTAAATTGAAACCCCACAAATTTGATCATAAGAACCGGAAGAAAAGTAAGAAAGTTCATAAGGAATTCAGCATTGGTAGATTCATGTTTCCATGAATCACTGTAATTGGTTTTCTCATTTTTTTTCAGGGAAACTACATTCCTCTAAAGAAGAATTAAGGCCATTAGAAAAATGATTCGTTTTCCTAAAGTTTGCATCTTTCAACACGAGGGAATGATGATGACAAGCCTACAGCTTATATTTCCTTGGGATGCCAAAAGCTTGGAAAGGTTCAATTCGTTTGTGATTGCTTCATCGGTGATCAAATATTGTAGGTGAAAAGGGTGAGGATGAACTGCAATGTGACACACATTTCAAAGCCTTTTTATTGCAATATTTGTCTAATACACTTTGCTGTTATCAAGCTTAATATTGGTGTATGCAAATTGTATGTCAGGTTCTGAGAGACAAGTACCTGAACTTGCAGCAAGAACCCAAGAATAACAACCAGGACCCAACAATCTTGAGCACCCATATTAACAACAAAGATTGAAACTTTATAAGCTGAAGATGAGAAAAACAAGCAAAACCCTCCACCAAAAATAATTTTACCGATGTGGGTTTTCGTTGTTAGAACAAAGGAGAGGAAAAAAAAAGCTCAAAACAAAAGGGTGGTTTGGTTTTGACAAGAAGAAGAGACGAAGAAGAAGGAAAAAAGAAGAGGAAAATGGTGTCAAGCAAATCACTAACGGTTTAGAAGAAGAAGAGTTAAAACGGTTGGTCAAACATATTGAGTCAGAATCAGTTGATTTAACATGTCACGTTATCGTTCCGTCACCACAGTAACGATTGTTAACGGATGTTAACGTTGAGTGATCATTTTATAACAAACGACAATAGTAATGACCATCGACGTAGTTTACCCTTTAAACTAATTTAAACAACTCAAAAAAAATTAATAAAATAAATTCATGTCGGCATCATATTTGATTTTTTCCAATCACAAACCTCCTTTGATTTGTCACAGAAAGGTGATTGAATTCACTGTTGAAATATCAATAGCAATCTGCTATGATTTGCCAATACAATTCATTTTTACCAAACCCTTCATTCATTGCTCACTGGCACCGACTCTATTTACCCAACCAATGCTTCACAATCATTGTTCACATGGTGTGCAAAAATATCCAATTAGGTTGACTTACCTGTCGACCCAAATTAAAAAACGGGTAATTTTCAAAAAAAATTACCGACCGGGTTAGGTATTCGGCCCAACAATTTTCGAGTCAGGCCCGGATCAGTAAATTGAGTTTTTCTGGGTATCCGATTACTCGAGTAACCAGTTAGTTTATATTTTTATTTTATTATATATATATATATAATATAATTATTTATTTATTTATATATATAGATTATTAGATTTTATATTTTAAACTTTTAAATTTTATGTTCGGATGTTGGAGTATGTAATTTGAAGTTTTTATATTTTTAAATTAATAATTTGAAAATGAACAAAAAACACTGAGTACCCGATTACCGAGTACCCGTAAAATCTGGGTATCCGGTAAACATCCGGGTCGAAACATGGGCCGAGAAATCATCGACTCGGATGTTGCGGGTACCTAATAATCGGGTACCCGGATTTGCACACCCCTTCAGCAAACCATTCCTTAATATTTGTAATTTTTTTAATTATCACATATACATTTTTTATTTTTTAACTATATACATTATTTTGACCATTTTTTAGATTTTTTTTAAATATTTTAATCCTTATTTTTTTTTACTTGAACTTTTAATTTTTGTTAAATTAAATCAACTGATGACAACAAACATGTTAAAACAAAGGGTAAACTATGCATATAGTCCCTTATGTTTAGGGTTTGGTCGACTTTTATCACTAATTTAAAAATTAAAGAGAAATTGTATCTAATGTTATCGATTTGTTCGATTTTAATCTTTAAACTATTAAATTTCGTTAACCTCTTTTGTATAAGTCCATAATATGACTGATGGACTAAAATCGAATTAAAGTTAATGACTAAGGGACTAAAATTGAATGAATAGATAATATTAGAGTCTAAAATCGGATGTATCGATAATGTTAAAGACTATTCCCCTTTAATTTTTAAATTAGTGATTCAAGTCGGTCAAATCAAAATAAATAACTTCATATTATTTTATCCTTTTGCAAATATTTTTTTTAAAGGAAATATAAGAATAAAATAATCGAAGACTAAAAAAGCCCAAGTGACAGCTGCATTCTCCAATGAATGTCTCCTCTCCTCTCCTCGGCCAAAAGTCTTCCGTTGAGACTCCACGAAAATTATTTGATGGATAAATTACGCCTTAGTACTTAAATTATTAATTTTGATCTATTTTAGTACTTAAATTTTTTATTTTTTTAAAAACCATATTTAAATTTTAGTTTCTGCTTCATTTTAGTATCATGTTTAAAATTTAGTGTTAAGTTTTGAAAAAATGAAAGTTTAGGTACTAAAACAACCAAAACTGATAGTTTAGGTACTAAACATGTGAGTTTTTAATGATGGGTATTAAAATGAAATTAAAACTAAATGTTAGGTATGATTTTGAAGAAAAAAATAAAAGTTCATGTACTAAAATGAACTAAAACTGATGATTTAAGTACTAAATGTGTAATTTACTCTTATTTAATAGATGAAATATGTAAATTTTAGATTATATAAATTTATCAGTTTTAGGGGCATTTGGTTCACGAAATGTAAGATTATTTTTTATAATAACATTACAGGAATGTAACATTACTATGAAAATGTTGTATTACATTGTTTGATTTGTTTAACAGTAATACAAAATTACAGTTTTTTTTTGTTGTAAAAATATAAGATTATTTGAATGCATATTTTATCAATTATCATTGTTATGCTTGTTTTTTTAAATTAAACTTTTTTGAATAATTAAATTTTAATATTAAATTATAAATATTTAAATATTTATAGAATTATTTTAATCGTTATAGCTTTAAAGAAAAAAACATTGAATATATAATTAGCATATTAAATTTATATTTTTAAATAATTTTCATAAGTATTTTATTTATTTATATAAAATATAATATATTATGAAAAAAATAATATTATGATCTCGAGTGGACAAAGATATTATTTTTTAATATATAATATATATTTTTTAATAACTTAAATTTATATATTATTTTAAATAATTATATTTTATAATAATATTATTTTTCACCTTATAAATTTATAAATAATTAATATATATTGAATATTAAAAATATAAAATAATTTTGAATACTCAAATTTATTAATATTTTACTAATAAATTATTTATATATTATTATTATTATGTTTATATTTATAATTTTGAGTATTTTATAAAAAAAATAAGAATTGAGAAAGATCATTATAAAAATAATTTATTAGTTTATGATCATTCTTGTTTAAAGTAGTGGAAATTGTCTAATACCTAAAAATTAGAGATAATGATATTCCCACTATTTTAACCAAAAGATGTTACTATGGGAAAAATATTATTTCTTGGAAACAATATTTCTATGAACCAAACGTGAGAATGTAATTCCGAAAATGATTATTCCCCTTGGTAATAATATATATTATATAACTTTTGAGAAAAAATATATTATATATATATTTAGTATATTAAACTTATATTTTTAAATAATTTTCATTAGTATCATATTTATTTATATAAAATATAATATTATGATTTCGAGTGGAAAATATTATGAAAATATTATGAAAATATTATTCCATGGTAATGATATTTTCTGTGAACCAAATGAAAATTCAATTCTATAAAAGATTATTCCCCTGACAACGATCTTTTGTGCGAACCAAACGTCCCTTTAATGTTATTATTTTAGCCTCTTTTCATTTTCTTTTAAAATCCTAAAAATTATTGCTTCTTATTTTCTTTATTTGACCGATGACAACATAAGTTTTGGTATTAGTCGTCGACTGTTTGTATTCCTTATTTCTTATATCATATATTTATTTTTTTTATTTTTTAGTTTTTAATAATTCTGATTTTATGTCACAATTTTTTCAGTTTTATAGCATAACTATTTTATTATTATTTTTATCGATCGTTTGGTATTTTTTTCAATTTAATTTTTGGGTAAACTATGCATTTAGTACCTAAACTATCAGCTTTGGTTCATTTTAGTACTTGAACTTTCAATTTTTTCAAAACCATACCTAAAGTTTAGTTTTCGTTTCATTTTAGTTTCTGCCATTAAAAACTTAACACATTTATTACCTAAATTAGGTCTACTTTAATACCTAAACTTTCATTTTTTTTTTAAAATAACGTTCACGAGGTACTAAAATAAAACAAAAACTAAATTTTAGGTATGATTTTGAAAAAATTGAAAGTTTATGTACTAAAATGAACCAAAATTGATAGTTTAGGTATTAAACGCGTAATTTATCATTACTTTTTTCAAGGTTGGATTTAATGTCAGTTTGACTGATCAATATGTCACTTATTTGTTATCATGTTATTCTTTCCTATTATATACCTCATATTGGATTTTGATATTCGTTTTGCCTTTGTAGATAATTTTTTTACGACATCCAATTTTGATTTACAGTTATCAGTGGTCTTTCAATAGTTTAATCTCATGTTGTGGTTAGTTTACCGATGTAATCAAATTTGTTCGTATTTTTCTTTTGTTCGAATTTTTTTCATGTGTTTTAACTTTTTCCTTATTATCTTTGTATGATCTCGAGTGATTAATTTATTGTGTTAATAGTTAAATAAAATATTCTAATTATTTATTTATTTTATGAATTTCATTGTAATTTCAAATATTTTTAAATAAATTTAACAGCTGTATTTGCATAAAAAATTCAAGTTTTATGTAGAATTTATGTATTACATGTTTACATTTTTAAATTTAAAATTTTAATATTTATGTTTGAAATTTTAAAATTTAAGATGTACACAACCAGTCCATGATTATAAAATGATGTTTTTGTTAAAATTTTCAATTATTAAAAGTTATAAAATAGTCACTCAATTATTTATATGTTCCAAACTTGTCTTTCTTCATTAAAAAATTAATAGTCATTTGAGTTAGTCGTCAACACGTTGATATGATATGGTAGTCGCTTGAGATTCTAATATCAAATTTTAGCATATCTCAATCAGTATGTTAACATTTAGCTTAAGATGTCGTTAATTTGTAATTGCAAAAGAACGAGTTCAAAACATATGAATAGTTGGATGATCATTTTGTAACTTTTAATAGTCGAAGGACTCAACAAAATAACACTTTTTTAGTTAGGAGATTATTTTTATAACTTTTAGCCTTAAATGCATCATTGCTGCCTAAAACATATCATTTTGTACCGAGTTGTCCCATAAAGTATTTTTCGGGATGTTTTGTCCCGTAAAATTTAAATTGTTACCTCGTTTTCTCCAAACCGTTAACTTCATTAAAAACAACAAGGGCAAATTACATATTTAGTCACTCAACTATTTTAACGGTTTTGTTTTGGTCTCATATTATTTACTATTTATTTTCCAAAATTATCATTAAATTTAAATTTTTATTCCGTTTTGGTCATCTAACCCGATTCGATTTATTTTAAAAACGTGTAATATGTAAAAGTTAACACATAAAATATAATAACATTAGAAAGCTAATTTTCTTTTTTCTTTTATTTTTTGGTTTGCTCCCTTAAAAACGTTTAAGTTCCTAGGAGAGCATTTGGTGGTGAAATGCTTTGAACAAGGCTTTGTGAACCGGTGAAGAAGCAGAAGCATAGTTTTCAACACCAAGCTTATGCTGGAAACGAACCGAACGAATACAAACGGAGTATGTTCATTTTCGTTCATTTAATTTTAAACGAATAAATGAACGAACACGAAAATAAACAAACAAAAAATTTATTGTTCGTGTTCGTTTGTTAAGGAATGTAGCTTGTTTGTGTTCGTTCATGTTCGTTCATTTAAATGATAAACGAACACAAATGAACGAACATAAACGAATGGATGTAAACAAACGTAAATAAACACAATAAATAAACATAAACGAATGTAAACGAACATAAATATGAGATAAGTTTTATTTTGTTTTGGCTCAAACTGTTGATCCAAAATTTCTCAACAATTGTCTTGTTTTCTTGAGGACTTTGTTTTGTTGTTTTCTGGGGCTGTGTTGGAAATGAAAATGGCAGATGAAAGATGACTGTGGGATAAGTTCAACGGATGAGAAAGACAACAATAATTCATTAAATATTCAGCTAATTCAAAGCTACAATGTTAGGGATAAATATTTTATAAGTTAAAAGATAAAAATAAGTTATTATATATTAATTTTACTCTTATATAAATAAACTCTTACATATTACAAATTTAAGATATAGATTTAATCGAATTAGGTGATTAAAATGAAATAAAAATTTAAATTTTGTGATGATTTAAAAAAATAAATAGTTGGCTGACCAAAATACAACCGTTGAAATAATTGAGTGATTAAATTTTTAACGGAATTAACGGTTTAAGACAAACGATGTAATAATTTAAATTCTAGGGACAAAACATTTCCAAAAATATTTTAGAGGGTAACTTAATACAATTGGTGTGTTTGGTTCACGGAATGTAAGATTACTAGTGTGAATATAAGATTATCAGTGAGAATATAAGATTACCAGGGAATATGATTATTGAGAATGTTGTATTTTGTGTTTGGTTGGTTTAGTAGGAATGTAAGATTACTGTATTTGGTTAAAGGAATATAAAAGATTATTGAAATATATATTTGACCAAATTGTCCTTATTATATATTTGTTTTTTAACAAGTTGAAAAATATTTATATATTTTAAAAAAAAAAATTAAATTCATAAAATTTATATATTTTTTATAAAATTGAAAATATAAAAAGGTTTAATGAAATGGTAAAATTTTATTTTAACTCATGAACTTCATATAAAATTTTAATTATAGATTTTTTTTTGTAAATCTAAAATAATTTAAGGATAAATTTGTAATTTAACCTTCGTAGAGTTTTTATTATTCAATGACAGAAGAAGAATATTTTTTTAAAAAAAAATTTAAGGGTATTTTAGTCTAAAACGCCGGTAATCTAACAATATCTAAGGAAAATGAGGTAATGACATTCCCGGTAATATACCCCAAAAAATTCACTATTGGTAATCTTACATTACCAAAAATGAGATTCCCAACTAACCAAACAGGAGAATGTGGATTTCATTTCCATGAGAATCTCACATTACCCCATTCAAAAGCCCTCTAGTGTATTTTAGGGGTAATGATACATTTAAACTTAATTTTTAATAGTCAAGAGACTTAATAAAATAATATATTTTAAATGAGGGACCATTATGTATTTAACCAATAAATTCATAAAGATCCTGTCAAATCTCCATTTCCAACATGAAGCAAAAGCAGAAGTTATAGAAGGAAACTAAAGATCAAAGCCAAAAAGAAAAAGCCATTAAAAAATGGCAATCAAAATTAGTACAACAGCAGCAGCAAAATCCCTGTTTCTCACATTCATTCTCCTCCTTTCCCTTTCTTTCTTCATCGTCATCTTCTTCATCTTCAACTCTCCTTCTACAAAACCCACAAATTCCTTTCCCCAAAATCACTTTCTTTCCTTCCCAAACTCCATTAAAGTCTACGTGCCCGACCTTCCCAGATCCCTCAACTATGGCTTGCTCCAACAGTACTGGGATTCCAATCACCACGATTCCCGAATCCCCACCGACCCAGATCACCGGATCTCGACTACCCATATCTCAAAACCCGCCAAATACCCTCCTTACCCCGAGAATCCATTGATCAAGCAATACAGTGCGGAGTACTGGATCATGGGTGACTTGGAAACCCCTCAGGAAATGAGGATCGGTTCTTTTTCCAAAAGGGTTTTCGATGCCAACGAGGCTGACGTTGTTTTTGTTCCCTTCTTTGCTACACTGAGTGCTGAGATGGAGCTGGGATCCGGAAGCGGTGCGTTTAGGAAGAAAGCTGGGAATGGGGATTTCTTGAGGCAAGAGAAAGTGATGGATTTTGTGATGAACACTGATGCTTGGAAAAGATCCGGCGGCCGTGATCATGTCTTTGTTCTCACTGGTATTTTGATTATTATTATTATTATTATATAATTTAAACTCATTTGCTTAGTGCTTAACCTTTTGTATATTTAGACTGTTACATTGTTGCTCGTTACTTGTTCTTTGTGTCATTATAGTTTCTGAAATTGGGTTAGAGAGTGCTTGATAATTTCTTTTAGTGTAAAGAAGTAAAGGGCAAATTTAACTTTGTAAGCTGTGTGGGAAATAGTTGCACAGCTGCTGTGCAATTTGCATAGAGAATCATCGACAACGGTATCCGGAAAAATGCCGTCTTCTACAGAAGACTGCTGTTATTATTGTTTGGAAAGCACGTTGATGGAGGTTTGATAGCGAGGTTGAGGATAATGTGGTAGTTGATTTGTCATTTTTTGCTATTTGGTAATGAAGTCTTGTGATGGCACAGAAACTAGTCTTTAGGACAAAACGAGAGTGTATAAAACTATGCCCTTCACGAAATTGGTCTGTCGGAAAGAGAGATGGCGATGAACATCATGGCCAGAAGAGAGAAACAGTTTTGTCGTTCAGCTTCTATTGTGCAAGGATGGGATTGTGAAATTTATCTAGGTAGCATTAGGTATATTATTGGCTGAAATATGCACAGTATTTCTTATGCACTTTTCATTTTGATTTGATTCCTTCTCTCGGTGATAATAGGAGAACGTACATCGATATGTTTACCGTCAGTGTCAAAAGAAATAAAACGGAAAAAGAAGTGGGAAATCATCCTGCATGCTTTACGGCTTATGATTTAGTTTCTGGATTGTCAGGTTATGTTAAACCTTGAAGTATTCTTTGACAGACCCTGTTGCAATGTGGCATTTCAGAGCGGAGATAGCCCCAGCGGTCTTACTGGTTGTGGATTTTGGTGGGTGGTATAGGCTTGATACGAAATCATCCGACGGTACCTCATCAGACATGATACGTCACACCCAAGTTTCGTTGCTTAAAGATGTGATTGTCCCATATACCCATCTGCTTCCTCGGTTGCAGCTATTGGAAAACCAGAAACGTCACACACTCCTTTATTTTAAGGGAGCTAAACATAGGCACCGGGTTAGCATTCTAACAACCTAACACCGAATCTAGCTGCACTATGTGGTGTCCCGATACTAATATTATTTCCTTCTTGAATGGATACAGTTCAAAACTTTGAGCTTCCTTTGCTGAGTTAAATGTTATCGAATTTTGCAGGGTGGCCTAGTTCGAGAAAAATTATGGGACTTGTTGGCTAACGAACCGGGAGTGATTATGGAAGAAGGGTTCCCTAATGCCACCGGTAGAGAGAAGTCAATTAAGGGGATGAGATCATCCGAGTTCTGCTTGCACCCAGCTGGTGATACTCCCACTTCATGCCGAGTCTTTGATGCCATTCAAAGCCTTTGTATACCAGTGATTGTAAGCGACAATATCGAGCTGCCCTTTGAAGGGATGCTGGATTACTCCACGTTTTCAGTTTTTGTAGCAGTGAGTGATGCTTTGAAACCAAATTGGCTCGTTTCTCATCTTAGAAGCATCTCCGAAAAACATAGGAACGAACTCCGTCGAGTCATGGCTGAGGTTCAGCCTGTTTTTGTGTATGATAACGGTCATCCAGGCGGTATTGGGCCAATCCCTCCGGATGGTGCCGTTAATCATATTTGGAGAAAGGTTCATCAAAAACTGCCTGCGATTAAGGAAGCCATTGTCCGTGAGAAACGAAAACCGGCAAATACATCTATCCCTCTACGATGCCATTGCACCTGAATGTAAGATTAAAGATTCATTTCATGTTTTTCACTCGTTTTTCAGATTGCATAAATGAGAAATGCAATAGTTTTAGTTTTGTAGTTTTCTTAAAAGTATGCTCTGTAGTTGTCGGATTCAAATGTTCAATATACTTAAGTTGGTTTGGTGCTTTCTTTTTCGATTTAGTCTCCGTGCGGATGAACGATGAGAATTATTTCGGTGAAATAAAAAAATTAAGGGTAAATTACGCATTTAGTACATAAACACTATCGGTTTTAATACGTTTTAGTATTTAAAGTTTTAATTTTTTTTAAATTGTACACAACGTTTAATTTTTGTTTCATTTTAGTATCATGTCGTTAAAACCTTAACGTATTTAGTATTTAAACTATCAGTTTTGATCCATTTTATTATCTAAACTTTTAATTTTTTTCAAAGTTTATCATTAAATTTTGAATTGGAGTACTAAAATAAAATAAAAATTAAACTTTAGGTATAATTTTAAAAAAATAAAAGTTTAAATACTCAAAAGGATAAAAACTGATAATTTAAATATTAAACATTTAATTTACTAAAAATTAAATATTAACCGTAGTGGTGAGGTTAGTTATTATAATCTTTAAAATATACCATTTAATGATGTAATGTTTATAAAATAATTTGTAAAATTGATATAATTGTAAATCTTAATTGATGTTACAATAATCATAATTTTTTGAAAAGTATAAAATTTATGGTTGAATGCTATTTGGAGTCCTCAAACATTTTTTTTTCTAAATTCATAAATTATGACTTTTTTCTAAATTGATCCCTGAATTTTGAATATTTCTACATTGATCCTCAAACTATCAATATCATTTCATTTTGATCTTTTTATTAACATGTTAACTCTAGTTAAAAATATTAATTTGTTTTTGAAGGTCTTGGAATTTTTTTAAGAAGACCACGAGTTCAATTCTCACGACTTTCAAAACCATATTATACTTTTAGATGAAGTACAAAAGTGTTCACCCATATTGCTTTATTAAAGCCTCTAACTATTACAAAGTTATAAAATAGTCCTAACTGTATTTGGCTATCGGTGTGTAGTGGTGGAGCTGGACAAGTCATCTGCTGTAGAGCTGCTGCAAAAACGTGGGAATGTTATCAGTTATTCAACTTTGCTACCACCACATTTGGAGGTTGGTGTCTTAAGAATGGATGATAAGTTTTGTTCATATGGTTCGATAAGGTAATCGGTTAGCAGATGGTTTGACGAAAATGGGTCAAAATAATGAATCTCTTGACAATATAGTTCCAAACTCATCATATTTTATTAAAAAATTAACGGCCGTCTGAGCTAGACGTTAACTTATTGACTGACATATGATAAAATATGACCCCAAAACCATTTGAAATGTATTTTTTGGATCGATTCTTCGTTTGCATTATATCCTCGAACTAGTGCATGAAACATTATGTGTCGAGCGAGTGCTTGAAAGCAACGACAATGCCATTAAACACCATTAAATTATAATTTTATCATATCTAGATGGTTTGTTAACGTCTAATTTAGATGATCGTCAATTCTTTAACGAAAAAAAGATGAGTTTGAAACATATGAATAAGTTAAGTGATCATTTTGTAACTTTTAATAGTCAAAGTTTTGGACAAAGAAGCACCCTGTAATCGAAGGAACATTTATATACTCTTTCCTAAATGTCTTTTTTAACTAGTAGAAATAATGAAAACTAAAAAATGGAGTGATACTAATAGTTTGAGAATTGATATATAATATTTTAAAATTTAAGGATCAACTTAAAATGAGATTATAATTTAAGGATTGATATGATTATTTTAAAGTTTATAGACTAATTTAGAATAAATATTATAATGTAGGGATGTCATGTATAATTATCTCTAAATTAAAAGAATTATACATTAAATGTCACTCGTTAATTTTTAACGTGTTTTAAATTCAGATTTTACACCGCCATAGAAAACCTTATAAATACGCCGCCGGCACGCCGCCACAGGTAACAGTATTCAAACCTGATTCTGACCGTTGGAGCTCAAAACCCTTCTTCTCCAATCCAAGTTTATTGTTCCTCAATGGCATTCATCTACGATAACTTTGTCCACCATGTTTTCCCATCCCAAATCATTGGAGAATCCCATAAAGTACCTCTGTCCCAACTCCAAATTCAACTAACCATCGACTTCACTCTCACTTTGAGGTGCTTAGACTGCGTACCACTGCTCTCCTTCCCCATCACCGATCAAGAAACCCTCACTTTCGATCTCACGCTCCTCAACCAACGAGACGAGGTTCACCGGCTTCTTGCTCCGGCGTTCACGAGCGTCGGGATCGGCGGCGCTTCTCACGACGTGTTGATCGATACCATCATCCAACGTGGACTGGAGATCGCGGACTGGACGTTTAATATGGGATTCAATTGTAAAGTCTTACATTTAGAATCGGTGATAAAGGCTTGTGTTGATGTAAGCGAGACCCGCCTTGAGTTGATTAAGAGCAGGGTTTTGGAGGGTTTTGAAACATATCATTACGGGACGGTTCCGGTTCCGGTTCGAGTGGAAGATGGAGATGGGGATTGCACCATTTGTTTGGAGGGTTTTGAAGCCGGATCATATGCTGCTCGGATGCCATGTTCTCATGCTTTTCATCCTAAATGTATTGGAAAATGGCTGGACCTCAGTCATTGCTGTCCTCTTTGTCGGTTTGAGTTGCCATAGATAGATAGAGATCATAATTGGGAGGTTTTGTTCATCTTCTTTTTCGTCCGTTTGCTTCTTTGCGATGCGGTGCAATTCAGACGTGTGAGATGATAATTTGAGTTCCGATGAGCGAAGATGGCGTGTTTTGTTGGTTGACCTCGCCAACTAGTTACATGAGCACACCCTAACCTAAACTGTCGTCTGTGAAAGTGATTATGCTGATACGGTTTCCGGTTCTCATTTCGTGCCAGGCAAATCCTACCGACGGGTTTGTCTCTTTTCTTAAAGTCTATCATATTCCCTGTGTTTTGAGTGCATTTTGTAGGTACATTAGTATTGGTCCTGCATGGTGTCATTGACCTAGAAAGCAGCATGGTTTCATCAGGCACTGCAGGTTCAGATATGATCATTATCTTGTCATGCATTTTGTTTACTACATAGCTGTGTTCTTTAGCATATGCTTTTGGGACAATATATAGCTAATGTCCTATCTGCGTTTGATTTCGCAGATATTTCCAGGGCATCCCCCATGTTGTCACTCAGGCTGAGCAAAAAGGTGGCTGTGCATGCTGATTACAACACAGATCGAGAAACCACCGATATAAAGTGAGGAACTTGATATATCTGTTCAGCCGAAACTTCCAAATCTCAGAGAAAGGACGGAGAACTTCGACAAAAAGGCATGTTCGGAGGGGGACTATGAATGCTTGTATCAGGGTTGCTGCCATTCTTCACTATCAGGACAGTGTTCATTCCCCATATCACATGTCTTCCTTCCTGGCAGTGCATTGCCCATACTCCTGCTCACAGCATTCGACCAAAATTCGGGTTTTATAGAACCGGCATATCGATAATAGCATGTTCATAATCACAAGAATTATAGAAAGATACCAGGATTGTTAGCTTTAAATCTGATAGTCAGCCATCCTTTCACGGGGAGTGAAGCAGCACTGGGGTAAGGTGAGTCAACTAGATTATATGTTTCTGGATCTGTTGTACTGTTGAAATTCCCATAATCACTTATCATTGGGAACCTTTTGTACATCTTTTTCGTCCATTTGCTCCTTTTCTCAAGCCTAAACTTGTTCTTGTTATTGATTTTTCATACTCAAAATATGATTTCCCTTACTAGAAACATTTTCAAACTGGCTCACTTATGTAGTAAAAGAAAATATTGTTTTGCCTAAAAGTTGTGTTCAAACAGTCGCGTATGCAGGTTATATATGCATTGTCAATTTAGTTAAAAAATTCTAAATAAATACCAACTTGTAATCATCCCGGACTATAAAAAAAACTAGAAACAAGATCTCCGTAGCACAACTAAACCAATAAGCTAATCATTCTCTTGTGTATCACCTTCACAACCCTGTAAGTCAAAGAAAAACAGAGAAGATGAAGGCAGACAAAATATTCAGATGAAGTCAGGGTGGATCTCATCTTCAACAATTTGACACTTGATGGATTCAGTGTTGTCATCACCATCTCCCCATTTGTTCACATAATGTGCAGGGTTTGTCGGACAACTTTGTTCCTCCTCATCTTCTGTCATGTAAAGGCTCCACTTTGAATTCCCTTTAGCTGCTGCAGTTGTTGCTGTTGTTGGCTTGATTTTCCTCATTGAATCCACAATGTTCGCTGCATCTCTTAGTGTAAAGCTGCTTCGTTTTGAAGCACTTGTGGCAATGTCTCCCAACGCTTGCTGCTGCCTCAATTGCCTCCCATCTGCAATTATTTAACACAAAATATACTATTTAAATATGCATCGTGTACAAACCAAACGACCTCAATAAAAAATTATTGTTATTCTTTGAGGCCCCAGTCTAAGCACCAAAAATGCTAAGTACGTGAGCATTCAATGACATACGGGGGAGAGTTATTTATGAACATATTGTACGTCAACCTAATTATATGATCGAAAAATAATAAAAAAGTAATTTCACATCATCAATTTAACACCATTATTATTAACAGTCTAACATCATAAATATGGATGACCAACTGAGAGGAATTGCGAATCCAAATCCAAACTTTAAAGTTTAAAGAGAACATCATTATCATCAACTCCCAAGATTCAACTCCCAAGATGGACCGCAAAATGATTTATAGAATTACAGTAATTACCTTGGGCAAGGAGCACGGTATCCTTTCTGCCACTCCTCTTGGATAAAACAGGCTTATAAAGTTGATGATGATTGCTGCCTTCACCATTATCATAGTTCCTCAATTCGGGTCTCTTGAATTTCTCCTTTGCCGGCAACTCTGTCACTATCTCCGGTTCCAAATCAACCCCTACACCATACACAAACACATACATACATACATACTAATAATGGCAGTTGAATTTATTTTCTAAGTATGACCTTGTTCCTCTTCTTGTAAAACCGTTTCGGGTTCAACACGATCCTCTGAGTCAAGATACTCAGTCCAATCAGTGCGTCTCTTCTTCGGATTCTCCGGAAGCCCTCCGCCACCTCCGTCGTTTTCGTCTTCGAAATTGATATCGTACTCCGAATCGAAGGGTTGGTTTTGATCGGAGAACTTGCGTGACATATTGAAAGACTGGACGAACTTGCGGACGTCTTTAGCGATGGGACCCTGGGCAAACACCCTGAGAACCGATTGCTTTTGATTGCAAACCACGCACGTCCACTTGTTGCTACTCTTCTTCCTTTGTTTCACCTGCGATTTAATCCACCATTTTTCATGGGGATTCGATTGAAATTGCTTAGAAACGAAAGAAAAAAGGAACGATTAACTTCGATTCACCTGCATTGTGGAGCATTGGCAGCATTGCAGAGCTACAAAAATGGCGGTTGACATGATATGGGTTTTCCCCTTTACTCTCTTCTGTTTGTCTCACTGTTTTCTTTTATGGTTTAATTCCGATTGAGGGGGCGGTGGGGATGAGCGGGACATTTCAGATTTTGATCTTTCGCCATTTGGCGCCAAACTTGCTGAAGGCAAAAGTGTTCGTTTTAGGGTTAAGGGTAAACTATACAAATGGTTACTCGACTATAAGATATTATTTTATCGAGTCCCTTAACTATTAAAAGTTACAAATGATTCCTTGACTATATAGGGAGTTACTTTGTTGAGTCCCTCGACTATTAAAAGTTACAAAATATTCAGTCGACTATTCATTATATTCCAAACTAGTCCTTTTCAATTAAAAAATTAACAGTCATTTGATTTGAACGTTAACATGCTGACTAAGATATGATAGTCGTTTGAGATTATGAGATCAGATTTTATCATATTTTAATCACTAGGTTAACATATGACTCATACAATCATCAATTTTTAACGAAAAAGAACGAGTTTGGAACATAATGAATAATTGGGTGACCATTTTGTAACTTTTAATAGTCAAGGGACTCAATAAAGTAACTCCTTATAGTATAGTCAGAGGATCATCTTGTAACTTTTAATAGTCGAAGGTCTTAATAAAGAGATACCCTATAATCAGGAGACCATTTATGTACTTTACCCTAAGGTTAATATCAGCCTTATTTTTCCATTTAGATAAAAACTAACTTTTAGTCCCTAGACTTGGTCGATTTTCTCAAATTGATTTCTAAAATTCTTTATTCATATTAGTTCTTGTACTGAAATTTTTATTCTTTCGATAACGTGTCACTCATAAATCATACTTACACAAGTGCACATCATTCAAGGGATTAAGAATTATTAAATTCTAGAATTAATATCAATAAAAATACCAAATTTGAAGATTAAAAATTGATTTACTTGTTCTTTAATATATAGTTAGGGATGATATTTTAAAATAAAAAAATAGATTAAGATTCAACTTAAATTTTAAAATATTTTCATCAGTCTTGAAAAATTAATTGATATTTTCATTCTAACCTGATTTAACTTTTTTTTATTTCTTTTACCGTTTTTATTAAAATAAAAATAATTAAATAAAATATTTATTTATTAATTTATTCGGTACATTGAGTGGAACCGGCTGATTTTTTGTAATAATGCAGACCAAAAAAATTGTTCGAATAGTGCACCCAATAGATTATTTGTTCGAATGGGGTGAATGCTACAATATAGAACGGAGTCGCATTGTGCTTTCCGCGTCTCAAGGTCGCATGAAACACCATGCGACTCTCCCTTCCCTAGATCACCATGCGTCTTTCCCCACCTTTAATTTTGTGTTCAAAAGGCTAAAATATTGGGAGAAAGACGCATGGTGATCCGGGGAGAGGGAATCACATAGTGTACTATGCGATATTGGGGAGACGCGGGGAGCCGAATGCGACTCCGTTCTATACTGAAGTATTCATCCCATTCAAATAAATAATCTCTCAAGTGCACTATTCAAATATAATTTTCCCACTACATTATTGCAGTAATTCAGTCGACATTAGCCCTTAACCTGAATGTAAGATTAAAGATTCATTTCATGTTTTCATTCTTTTTTCAGATTGCATAAATGAGAAATGCAATAGTTTTAGTTTTGTAGTTTTCCTAAAAGTACGCTCTGTAGTTATCGGATTCAAAGGTTTGATATACTCACGTTGGTTTCCTGCTTTTTTTTTTCCTTCTTAAATATAAATAAGTGTTCAAATTATAGTGCTTTTCATGAATAGGTATCTGAATTGTTTTTTGAATAATTTCGGTGTTTAACGTTATAAACGTTACAACTTTAAGTGCCTTAGGAGTGAACGACGTCAATTTCCTCAATTAAGAGACATGTGCTACAATCTGGTAATTTTATTTTTTTTAAATATTAAAAATATTAATATTTTTATAAAATCCTAATTTTTCTTATTTTACAAAAAAAAAAAACTCTAAAATCTCTAAAATTTTCAAATCCTAAACCTAACCCACCGCCACTCTTTTCGGCCATGACCATCATCATCGACGTAGTCTCTGTCTTCTTCCTATGGGATGGGAAACCATCACCGATAGCATTTTCAAGCTGACTTACTTCTTTAGTAAACAAATGTTGTTTTCTTTGTAAGATTTGAGTTCAAGCAATCACATCTGCAGGTTGTATGTACATTATTAATTGATTAAAATTGATATCAACTTGTAATCATCCAAACTAATAAAAGAAAAAAGAAGATATCCGTAGCCCAACTAAACCAATAAGCTAATCAATCTCTTGGTCATTACCTTCACAACCCTGCAAGTCAAAGAAAAACAGAGAAGATGATGCACAGACAAAATATTCAGATGAAGTCAGGGTGGATCTCATCTTCAACAATTATTTACTTGATGGACATTTGTTCACATAATGTGCAGGGTTTGTCGGACAACTGTGTTCCTCCTCATCTTCTGTCATGTAAAGGCTCCACTTTGAATTCCCTTTAGCTGCTGCAGTTGTTGGCTTGATTTTCCTCATTGAATCCACAATGTTCGCTGCATCTCTTAGTGTAAAGCTGCTTCGTTTTGAAGCACTTGTGACAATGTCTCCCAATGCTTGCTGCTGGCTCATTGACTTCTCATCTGCAACTATTTATTTAACACAATATGTACTACATTTTTATGTGAATTATTACTGATAATAACAATTAAACAATAAAAAATGATAGCATAAATTTATATGAACAATTGAGTTGAAACAATCACCAACAGAAAAGAAAAATTTTATTGTAAATGATATGATTGTATTCTAAATACTAGAATCATAGTTACATATATGATTGTAGGAACACAATGACCTTAATCGAACAAAACTATACTCCAGTGGAATCATTGATGAGCTATCTAAGAGTTTTTGCATCACCACAAATCTTATTTTCACTTTCAATTTATTTATTCACCAAACTAATCATATTATAAATCTTTACCGAATCAAATAAAATTTCAATCACAATCTCTAATATAATCTCTCTGCCCACGGCAAATATTGTTGAAAATGTTTTCTTCTAAGAGAAAAGGTTTGAATTCCTTTTGTCTAATTTTGTTTTTAGTCCCTCTACTTGTGCTGCTGTTAAGAAGCTTCTGAAGGCTTTTACGGAAGCTACCCGAGTCGGAAAAGGCGGCTTTGCAATTCTCCATGGGACTCAAGATTGAACAGCTCAAGGCCGAGGTTCAGCAGTTGGATGATTGATGAGGCTAATTCTAATGGAACTTTGAATCCGCTTTGCTTCATTTGTCACACTTGGTAGAGAATTAGAGATGAGAGATTAGTGATTTTCTATGTTGCACTTGTTGAAAGTAAATTTTGGTGGCTTTGCACATGGCTAATTCGGTGGCTTTCGGTAGAATTAAATGGATGCAGCAATTGTTGAATTTTTCAACAATGGTAAAATCTCAATTTTAGTCATTGTAATCTAAGGTATTTACAAATTAGTCCTTAAGCTTCAACTATAAATACCCTAGCTCATTTAGCTTCAAAACCATCCCAAAGCATTCTAGCTTTCTTCCAATACTAGAGAGAATTTAGAGAGTTTCTTGAGAGTTGTTTTATCCTATTTATCAAGAGAGAATTATCATTGTTTTTTCCTTGGTAGATCGAGAGAAGTTGTAATTCCTATTTTCTCATAGTGAAATTTTTCTATCGTTGTCCGTGGTTTTTACCCTATATTATTTAGGAGTTTTCCAAGTAAATTTTGTGTCTCTTTTATCTTCATTTTTATTTTCTCAAATTATCAGTTGCGATTTTGCTATATTCGATAGCCGTCTTCCGCAACAATTGGTATCCGAACCAGATTTGAGTATGTAATATCTACTTATTGTCTTTGTGGTTGCCACCAAAAGGTGGATCCTCCAACATAAGAAAGTAAGAAGTTATTACTCATTCTTTGAAGGTTCCAGAGAACTATTCACGATAGTGAAATAGTGAGAGCTATCCGTAATAGAAGCTATGACAACGAAATTTAACATTGAAAAATTCAATGGGAGAAATTTCTCATTGTGGAAATTGAAAATGAAGGTCATCCTGAGGAAAGACGGTTGTCTAGCAACTATCAGTGAAAGGCTGGTGGATTTCACAGATGACAACAAATTGATTGAAATGGACGGGAATGCTATGGAAAACTTTCATCTAGCATTAGCAGATGAAGTATTGTCAAGTATCAAGGAGAAGAAGACAACTAAGGAGATATGTGATCATCTCACCAAATTGTACGAGGCCACATCGTTGCATAATAAAAATTTCCTTAAGAGAAAATTGTACACTCTCCGTATGCCAGAATCTACTTCAGTGACGGAGCACTTAAACACATTGAACACGTTATTTTCTCAGCTTACATTCTTAAGATGTACTGTAACACCCCCAACCCATACCCGACCCGGATATGAGTCAAAGATACTACATTGACTTTGAAACACAACTCTTAACAAAAAAAATAGCAAAATATTTCGACTTATATTAAGAAAATACGATAATATACATATTGTAATATAAATTTATAAAAATATTCAGAGCATACACAACTTAACCCTTTAATTACATGCCAACTGCCATTTACATAACAAAATGACCTACTGATTAAGTTGCTTCTGATCTGGTGGTTGCAGGAGTAATGCTGTCAAGCTGCTTCACCTGTCTCGTCTATTTCCTCGGATCCTACGTGTGAAACACTCACACGCTAAGTCATCGACTTAGTGAGGCAATAATAATAACAAGGCAATGTAATGTAATGAAAATGTCATGATCATATGAGATGAGATGCAAACATGTACTTAATCAATGTAGTATACATCATCAATATCCATACCTGTAAGCGTATGACTGTAACATTCATGAATCTGTATTAATAAGTTTATTGGCCCATGATAGCATATTGAGAACCTAAGGTATCGGAGTAATGTGAGGTTGTGCACTATGCTGTCACCACAACTCGTATAAATGCACCGAAGTGCCC